AAAAAAAAAAAGTGAATATCTTTTTTGTGTTCTCTGCTTTCAGCCAAGATTCCATCTGACGTCAGCAATATCACTAGTTCCATGTCCTCTTCTGAGTTTGGCTTTAGTTTCTGGCAGTTCCTAACTATGTACTGTTACAGCCATTTTTTAATTTAGTGAAATTTTAGTTGCATGTGATATTAATGATACTATTTGATGATTTCCACATTACATTGGGTTACCTGTCTTTCAAATGGGCACAAATATGGATCTCTTCCAGTCAGTTGGCCAGGTAGCGGTCTTCCAAATTTCTTCACATAGATGAGTGAGCCACCTCCAATGCTGCATCAGTTGGTTGAAAATCTCAATTTGTAGTCTGTCTGTTCCTGACCCTTGTTTTTTCTCCAACACCTTCAGTGCAGCTTGGACATCCTCCTTCAGTGTCATCAATTCTTTATCATATGCTCCCTCTTGAAATGGCTGAGCATCAACCATAGCTTTTTGGTTTAGTGACTATGTCTACCTTCCATCTTCTTTTGATGCTTTCTTCATCATTTAAAATTTATTCAGTAATCCTCTGTTTTATAAATCAAGGCTTGAATTTTTTTCTTTAGTTCTTTCAGCTTGAGAAATGCTGAGCTTTTCTAGCTCCAGGTCTTTGTACATTTCATTATAATACTTGACTTTGTCTTCTTGAGTGCCTTTTGAAATTTTCTTTTCAATTCTTTTACTTCCTCATTTTTTCCATTTGCTTTAATATCTTCTGGAAAGGAAGTTTCAGAGTCTCTTTTGACATCCATTTTGGTCTTTTCTTTCTTTCCTATCTTGTTAATGACCTTTTACTTACTTCATGTATTATATTCTTGATGTCATCCCACAGCTCTTCCTGCTCTTGAGTCATTAGTGTCTAATGCAACAGCTTTTCTATCTTAGTATACCTTTAAATTATTGAACTTTGAAATAAATATAAAATATACAGTATAGCTATAATACCGGGTCTTGGTATGGCATACTATAGAACTCGACCTCAAGGTTGGTTTGAACTGCAAGGTTGACAGTCCAAACTCACAGCCACTCCTTGGAAATCCTTTACGGGGTCAGGGTCCCTGTAAGTCAGAACCGACTCGAAAGCTCTTAACAACAGCAACAGCTATAATGTTGAATTAATATGATTGGAAGTATATGCAATTAGAAATCATGCATTTTGATTTTCCAAAATTGATTTGACTCATCTTTTAAAATACTGAATGAAACAAATCAGTAATTGCATAGGAACTTCTCTATAAACTTGTTACATTTTGCAGAAGATTAGGATGTGGTTTCAAGCTAAGCAAATGTCATCTGATGTGAATCTATTTACTGTCATTCAAGCTTGTATGAATCACAGGTAATTTATATTTAGCAGTACCAAAATAGAATCCTGGACTTTAAAATCATTTGTAATGAAGTAAGTGTGTTTTGATGGAAATGAATCCTTTTACCTTATCAATAAAATATGTGAAAGGATGCAGAAATTTTTATAAAACAGAATTCTGGAGGTTTTACATCATATCCCCTATTCCACTACGAGCCATTCCCCAGGAGAAAGATAAGGCTTTCTGCATCTGTGAAGATTTACAGCCTCAGAAACTCTATGCAGGGCTGATGTGAATTGGAACTGACTCCACGGCTCACCACCACCACTCCATTTTAAGCATATTTTCAAGTTTCTAATAGTGCTATTAGGAGCCCTGGTGTTTTAGTGCTTCACTGCTAACTGAAAAGGTCATCTGTTTGAACCCACTAACCACTCTCTGGAAAAGATGAGGCAGTCTGCTTCTGTAAAGATTTTACAGCCTTGGAAACTCTATGGGGTCGTTTTCCTCTGTCTCGTAGGGTCACTTTACATTGGAATCAGCTCCTTGGCAACTGAGTTTTAATAGTGCTATGCCATAGTGTGGCGCTGTCGGTTAATGTACCAGACTGCAAAGCCGTTTGAACTGCAAGGTGGGTTGTTCAAGCTCACCAGCTGCCCCTTGGAAACCCTTTACAGGGTCACTATGGGTCGGACTTGACTCTACGGCACTTAACAACGACTACAATATAACAGCATAGTGTGACTTACTCTAATTTACATAGCGTGAGAAGTTTTCTAGTTTGATAAATTGTGCACAGTTGCCTTTCTTCTTTATATCATGCAGTTAAAAATTATTAGTATTAGCAGACTAATCCCTAAGGATTCAGTAATTGGTAGTCGTGGTGGTTGTGTGCCGTCAATTCAGTTCCAAATCATAGTGACCCTGTGTAGTGTTTCCCAGGCTTTAAACCTTTGCAGAAGCAGAGTGCCTCTTCTCCTGAGGATAAGCTGGTAGATTCGAACTGATGACCTTTCAGTTAACAGCCCAGTTCATAATCTACTACACTACTGGGGCTCCTATGTTAAGTGATTGTATTCCCATTTTGCATCAGAATCCCTAGAGCTTTTCTTCTTTAAACTAAACTCTTAGGTCATGTATCTGTATACTTTATAGTTGGTTTAATAAGTCCTGACAACCTGCCTATTTTTTAAAAAGTTAAAATTAGTAGATATTCACTTATTATAGTGTAATTCACTATACTTGATAATGTGATTTTTAAGCAGTAAGAACATTATCTTTGATTTATATAGTTACCTGTAGCAATGGGTACTTGGAAAGAATAGACTTTTTTTTTCAAAAGCAGCAAAGATAATAAATAGCACCACTGTTCACCATCCTTACCCTCTATTCTTCCCACACATACAAAATAAATAAAAGCTAAACCCATTGCCATCAAGTTGAGTCCAACTCATGGTGACCTTACATGTTACAGAGTAAAAAAAACTGCTCTTCATGGCTTTCTTGGTAGTAATCATTACAGAAGCAGATATCCAGGTTTTTCCTTTGTGTGACTACTGAATAGGTTTGAACCACCAGTCTTTTGGTTAGAAGCCAATTAGAAATCATTTGTGCCACCCAGGGATTTAAGATACTAAAAGAGCAGTGTTTTAATTATAGTAGTCTTCATTGTAGATTGGGTCACATTAAAATACGTAACATGCCAGTGGCATTCATGATACGTACTTGACACAGCAGTTCAAAACTATCAGCTGTTCCGTGGAAGAAAGACGGCACAGCACCACCACCACCACCACCACTTGACATGTATTAATTACAGCAGATGAACAACACCTGTAAGACCAAATAGTCGCATAAAATATAAACCTTTATTTTAAGGAGCGCTGGTAGCGTAGTGGTTAAGAATCAGGCTGCAAACTGCAAGGTCAGCAGTTCGAAACTACCAGCTATTCCACAGGAGAAAGATGAGGCATTCTGCTCCCGTAAAGATTTACAGCCTCAGAAACCCTGTATAGGTCGCTATGAGTCAGAACCGACTCCACGGCATATAACAACAACAACAATTTTTAGTGCGTTTTGTTTTCTGGGGCTTACTTTACTATTTACAAAAGTTGTTGTTGTTAGGTGCCATTGAGTTGTTAACCAAGGTATAGCAACCCTATGCACAACAGGCAAAAACAATACCTGGTTCTGGGCCAACCCCACAATTGTTGCTACACTTGAGCCCATTGATGCTGCACTTTTCCAATTCATGTCGCTGGGGTGTTCCTCTTTCTCTCTGACCAAACATTTTCCAGTGACTGATCTCTCCAGACACATTTTACAAAAGTAAAATCCATAAGTTTTTTGATGCTTAAATTTCTATGTTGCTGCTATGTGCCCTCTAGTCAGTTCCGACGCACAATGATTCTGTATAGGGTTTCCAAGGCCATAAATCTGTATGGGATCAAAAAACTTTATCTTTCTCCTGCAGCCAGTGGATTTGACCAGCAGCCCAGTATGTAACCTACTACATTACCAGGGCTCCTTTAAATTTATATAGCTTGCTTAATATAAGAAATAATATTTTCAGTCAAAGTAAAATGATAACAAGATATAACAAAACTGAGTTCATTAGAGAAGACTCTCCTCTCTGTCATTATCAAAAGTAATTTTTTAAAGTTGCCAAGTGAGTTTATTAAGTACTGCTTGATTATTCAAAAAATTATTCAAATCCATTTTTAAAATGTTCTCAGTTGTGTAATTTTTGCTCTTGAAATAAAAATCTGTCATAGATTTTTCTATTACATCATATCCTAACTAAACCTACAGAATAGATTGTTTCCTCTTAGTAAGTACCCTAAGTGTATTAGTAATAGTTTACTTTAAAAAATTAACTTTGTGCCTTTATTAAAACAAAATTAAGAATACAACAGTGCGAGAAGGGAAAAAAACTAATATGTAAATGATATGTATATAATAAATTATTTGTGTATAATAATATGTACTGCTATTTCAAAATTTGTTTTTTAAGAAGATGAAAAATTATATAGATTTTTTTTTTTTTCTATCCAAAGTACTGGATGATTCAAGACCGCAGACAAAAGTAGTAAAAGGATCACAAATAAAGAGAAAAGTCATGTACAGATGTATTCCTTGGTCTCCAGTTTGAAAATGGGAATCCTTATCATTGTAGTGTCATCATTAGAGGAATCTTGTAATTATTACTGATGGAATAGTTTAGTGAAGTTTATAATTAGTCCTCATTTACTATCCTTGATAGTTATTTAGGTCATCTTATTGTTTTTTTATTATATAATTACATCAGTTCCAAATTATATTGGAAACTGTGAAACAGTAGTTTAAACAAATTAGGGATCATTTTCATTAGATGGTAAGTCTGAAGGTAAGTCTGGAGTCTTGGTGTGGTGCTGTGGGTTAATGAGCTGGACTGCAAAGTCGGTTTGCAATGCAAGGTCAACGGTTCAAACTCACCAGCTGCTCCTCAGAAAACCTTTACAGGGTCTTTATGAGTCGGAAGCAACTTGATGGCACTTAACAGTAAAAACATGCCTGCGGAGACGACGAAGCCCTTCCTTAACTTTTTGCTTAGCCAGGGTGAGTGTGCACTTGTTGTGAATGGAGTCAACATCTTTACTGACTTCTATGTTTATTTCATTGACCAGGGCTGTATCAAATACATATCAGTCGGGTAATCCTGAAAACTGCAGTCCCGTCATTCAGTCCTATTAGATATAGAAGCCACTAGCTTCAGGGGAGATTGTGAAATGTTATTTTTTTCAGCTAAGTACATTTTTGTCCTGAACAAAATCAAACTTCAAAAAATAAGGAAATAGTAGAGAGTAACTATTTGGTAGCCAATCAGTAATGTTTGCCAGAGCATCTAAATAGTAACTAAATGGATGAATTCCGTTTTTAGCTAGTTTTCTGACTTCCATGAGACCAATTAAAGAATAATGGAAATAACTTCTTGATTGGTAATTATTTGAAAATATGACATTGAAATAATAAGTCTTTAATAAGTCAAATAAGCCTTTTTTTTTAAATGCAACATGGATACAGATTATTTACCCCATTTGTGAATGTTGCTTTTGAACAATTGTTAAGTGCCATTGAGTCAGTTTCAACTCATAGTGACCCTGTGTATGGTTTCCGAGGAGAGGCTGGTGAGCTTGAATTGCAGACCGTGTGGTTCAAACGGACCTTGCAGTCCAGTGCATTAACCCACAGCCCCACACAGTTATAAAAATTGTTTGTCTGCATAATCAGTAAGTTCTGCTTTTTGTTTTTTATTCTAGAGGCACATATTTACAAAAGATGTGGTTAAGAATGCTCATTGGAGAAATACTTGTAGTAGCAAAAACCTGAAAATGGCTAACTAACTTGATATTTTCATACTATGAATCTCTTAAAAGGAATGAGCTATGCTTAACAGTATGGGTTGGGAGAATCATTTTTTTTCAAGTGTTATGTAAAATAACTATAGCACAGGACTTTTTGATAAGTAGTAATATCTGATATGGTATTTTATATATATATATATAAGGAGCTCTGGTAGCGTAGTGGTTACGAATCGGGCTGCGAACCTTAAGGTCAGCAGTTCGAAACTACCAGCCGCTCCGCGGGAGAAAGATGAGGCTTTCTACTCCCGTAAAGATTTACACCCTCGGAAACCCTGTACAGGGTCGCTATGGGTCGGACCCGACTCGATGGCACTTAACAACAACAACAACAACAATATATATATATATACATACACACGGTTTTTATTTTATGGCTTTTTTTTAATGTTATGGTTATTGCTTAGGGTTCTCGATGCTCGTCTGATGCCAATATGCTTGGAGAGATGATGTTTGGCTCTGTAGCAATGAGCTACAAAGGATCCACCCTAAAAATTCATCAAATCCGGTGAGGGATTTTCTCATTTTTGAAAATATTATAATTTTAGTATTTTAAATTTTGTTGATGGTGAGAGAATTTAGTATGATTTTCACTCAGGCTGAGTATCAGTTGTTCAGTTTATGATGTTCTATGGGATAAGCACTAAACTGCTAACCACAAGGACTGAAGTTCAAACCCAACAGCTGCTTCTTGGAAACCCTATACAGGGTCGCTATGAGTCAGAACCAACTTGATGCCACTTCAAAACAGCAACAGACATGGGCTTAATGGAATCCTGTAGGATAAGCACTAGACTGCTAACCACTAGGTTGGTGGTTCAGACCCACTAGCTGCTCCTCGGAAACTCTATATAGTGTTGCTGTGAGTCGGAACCAACCAACTCAACAGCACTTAACAACAACATCTTGAGCTTAATGTCATTTCATGACTGTTGTATCTAAAGGGTAAAGTTTCTCTGAGTTACAAATATTTCTTTATAATAAATCAAAAAAGGTCATCATATTTTCATTTTGATCTCTGTTTGTCCCTTTCTCTCGTCATAGTTCCCCTCCACAGCTTATGCTCAGCAAAGTCTTTACTGCGCGAACTGGCAGCAGTATTTGTGGAAGTCTCAATACGTAAGTGTTTATGGACGCAGGGGGAAATGGATTATTTAAGATGTGCAAATTGCAGATATTAACAAACTGCTCTTAGTATTTCAGAATAAGTTCAGATAGTCTTCTCTTCCCTTAAGTATGAAAGTTCTTGTATGCCAGGCTGCATCTTCTTATGAGTTTAATTGAAGAACAGGAGGTGTGGTCTCTGTTTCTCTTATTTACTAAAAGCCAAATCTAGAAGTAAAATTTTGAATGCATTTACTTACATCTGAGGTTGACAGGCTGATTTCCACTTTTGTAGTGTTCTGCTGAGTTAGTACCTATATATTGTATTCTTCATTTTTAGTTCCCCTACAGGATTAACCCTGCAGGCAGGAGTGACATAGGTCAGCCATATGTTAGGAGCATATTGTCCATTACTTTGTCGCTTAGTAAATGAAAGATTGGTGTTAGGTCAAGTGGGAATGGGCTGCAGAGATGAATTCTGCAGATGCTCAGTCAGTGCAGGACTCCTTGGAGAGCCGGTCTCTGGGAGTAACCCAAGGCAGATTAGCAGGAGGCTCTAAAATTGCTACTCTAGATTACAGAAATTCTTTGAAGGCTCTGTTAATTGTATACTTTATGATTTATTTTGTGAAAAGTTTTATTAATAAAATTTCTAGTTCTTGTTTTAATTCTTCTTTTAGGAAAACAGGGGAAAGGAAAGTTTCATACTAAAGTTGAAGTTATATATCCTAAGTTGGAATAACTAATTTTAGTTACAGTCACCTCAGGTTGTTTTGTTTTGTAAATTCCAATATTCTAATCCTAAAATGTCTACACAGAATACTTTACATTAAAAGCAAAAAGTAATTTTATTTTTGCTGTTCTGAATGATTTATTAAGAAGAAACTATTTCTAATGTCTAGACTAAAGGTAATTTTTTTTCTGCAAGAAGTTTAGAAAATTTTTCAGGTTCAAATAAATTGTGAGGGTAAACCTTATTTGTAATTTAAATAAAGGTCAGCAAACTTTTTTTCTATTTGGTAAGGGACCAGATAGTGAATAGTTTGGGCCTTGTCAGCCAGGTAATATGTTGCAGTTCCTCAGTGTGGCCACTGAACTAGGAAATCATACACAGACAATACATATGCAAATGAATGTGGCTGTGTTCCAAATAAAAAAACTCAACAAATTGAAAATCTTTTGTTCATTAAAGGATTTCATCAAGAAAGTGAAGAGACATTCTACAAATTGGGAGAGAATTATTAGAAGTTTCATATAGGATAAGAGTTCCACATCCAGAATATATGAAAAACTCCTGTAACAACAACAAAATACATGCAGTTCAATTAAAAACCACGGGCAAGGGACTTGAATAGACATTTCATCAAATGTCTATTTCTTCACCATTTGGAAGACATTCAGAATGGCCACCAAGCACATGAAAAGCACATTTAGGAAGAAATGCAAGTGAAGAATATAATGAGATACCATTTTACACTCACTAGGTAGGCTATCCATTAAAAGATGAAAACAGCAGGTGTTGGTGAGAATGTGGAGAAAGTGAGACCCATATCCATTGCTGCTGGTGGGATTATAGATGGTGTAGACACTGTAGAAAATAATAATGGCAGTTCCTCAGAAAGTTAGCCACAGAATTGTCAAATGACCAAGCACTTCCATTCCTAGATATATACCCAAAAAATTTTAAAGCAGAATGCAAACAATACTTGTACACTTGTGTTCATTGTGGTATTATTCACAGTAGCCAACAGGTGAAATAAGTACCCATCAATGAAGAATGGATAAACAAAACGTATGTACACACAATGGAATATTTCTCAACTCTGACGAGAAATGAATTCTTAACACATGCTACAACATAACTGAACCTTTAAAACGTTATGATAAGTGAATTGTTAGTCATAAAATAGCAGATATTATGACCTTCCTAGTAGTGTGGCACTGTAGGATAAGCTTGACCAAAGCTTTAGGATAAGCTTGACCAAACTGCTAGCTAGGCAGTTCAAACCCACTAGCCGCTTCTACGGAACCCTATACAGGGTCACTGGTCACTATGAGTAAGAACTGATTCTATGGCACTTAAGAGCAACAACATACCTAGAATAAGCAGGTGCATAGTGATTAAAGTTTATTGATGGTTACCATGGTTGTGAGAGAGGGAAGGGGCAAGGAAAACACATTTAGGGGACAGTAAGTTTCTATTATCAAGGAGCTCTGGTAGCATAGTGGTTATGAGTTGCGCTGCCAACCTCAAGGCATTTCGAAACTACCAGCGGTTCCGCAGGAGAAAGATGAAGTATTCTGTTCCCACAAAGATTTGATCCTGTGCAGGGTCACTGTGAGTCGGAACCAACTCCACAATACTTAACAACAACAACAAACTTCTGTTTAAAGTAATAGGAAAATTCAGGAATGGTTAATGGTTGTGGTTGAACAACGGGAAGAACCTGCTTAATGTCAATGAACTGTACATGTGAAAATTGTTAAAATGGCAAATGTTTTGTTATCTATATATTTACCACAATTTAAAAAGCAACAAAAAATGTAGTTTACAAAGATAGACAACAGTCTGGATTTAGCCCTTGGGTTGTTGCATGCAAAGCTCTGATTCAGACGATTTCTTTAGTTAATTTATAATTATAATATAGAAAAATCAGTTTTGTACTTTAAATTTTGGTGGATGTATAAAATACTGCCATTTTGAGCTTAAGATGAATTTGGATTTTTTTTCTTTCCCCTCCATAGGCTGCAAGACAGTCTTGAATTCATTAATCAGGACAATAATACATTAAAGGCTGATAATAGCACAGTCATTAATGGACTACTTGGAAATATAGGTAAATGGTTCCTTTCATTTTTATAAGTTGTAAAATAATTAACAGTATAATAAGGGTTTGAAGTTAATTTTTTACTAAGGCTGATCTGTTACATAAGACTTAAGACATTCAAATACTAGAAGTAGAAAAGGCATTTAAATTGCAAGTATGCATAGCATTTATATTAGTTGGAAGACTTTTAGAATATATTTGAGTGTAATATTTATTTTGTTGGTGCAGGACCAGGCTTTGTTTTGCTCTGTTGTGCATAGGATCACTGAGTCGGACCCAACTCAACAGCACCTAAAAAGAGCAACTTCTGTTTTGTATCTTAAAAAAAGAGAACAGCTAAGGATTTATTTAATTTGTCTTCATTGTTTTTTTATTTAACTTTGATGTATCTTTAAAGAATTACCATTGATGTGGGAGGCCCTTGCTAGCTATGCTGAATATTTTAACTGAGGAAGATGGTTGTTACACCTCCTCCTCCTTCTCTTGTCTAATCATAATATCATTTTAAAATTATTCTAATTCAGATGAGCAATTAATTCAAATTTTACAGTCCTTAAGTATCAGAATAGCAACTTATTTAGTAATTTGATTAACCTAATTGCTTTTGTTGTTTAACATTGTAAAGTAAAACTGTTTCTAAAACATCTAATGATTTATTTTATTCTCAAAATCTCGACTCACTTGCTTCCCACTGAAGAACTGTAGTGTCTGAGAGAGTGGACAGCAGTTCAGAGTAGTATGAATAATGCTCAAATTCTCTGTTTAGCAAAAGTTTTTATTTGTAGTTGATTGTAATAAATATGTATTAGGTATATGAATTAGTAGAAAGCACAGCTTTTTCTTTCAATTCTGATAGTATAACATTCTATTAATTTTTGTTCATTTAAATAAGTAATCTCTATTAAGTGCCTACTAAGGGGTAAGTAATTGCTGTATAGTGCAAATGGGCAGTATTGACATTTTCACGATGTTTAATCTTCCTATCCAGGAACATGGTATATTACTCCACTTTTGTAAGACTCTTTTGGGTTTTTGTAGTAGTGTTTTGTAGTTTTCTTTGTATAGGTCCTGTGTTTCTCTGGTTACGTTTATTCCTAAATATTTTATCCTTTGTCAGCTATTGTAAATGGTATTGCTTTCCTAATGTCCTTTTCAGCGCTGACATTGTTACTATTGTTGTTGTTGTTGTGTGCCGTGGAGTCGGTTCCAACTCTTAGCGACCCTGTACAGGATTTCCGAGGCTATAAAACTTTACGGGAGCAGAAAGCCTCATCTTTCTCCCACGAAACAGCTGGTAGTTTGGAACAGCTGGTAGTTTGGAACTGCTGACCTTGTGGTTTGCAACCCAATTCATAACCACTACACAACCAGAGCTCCTTATTGTTACTATAGAGGAATCCAACTGATTGTTGCATGTTGATCTTATACCCTGCTACTTTGCCGACAATTCCAATGATGTCTAGTAGCTTTTTTACTGAGTCTTTGGGGTTTTCTATGTATAGGATCATATTGTCTGCAAATAGAGTTTTCGTTCCTCTTTGCCAATTTTGTTGTTGTTAGGTACCATTGAGTCGCTACCGACTCATAGCAACTTTATATACAGCAGAATGAAAAAGTTTCCTGATCCTGGGCCAACCTCACTATTATTGCCACACTTGAACCCATCGATGCTGCCACTTGGCCAATCCATCTCATTGGTGGTCTTCCTCTTTTTCTCTGACCCTCCACCTTACCAAAATATCCTTCTCCAGTGACTGCTCCCTTCTCACAATATGTCTGAAGTATGAGAGATGAAGTTTTGCCATCTTGGCCTCCAAGGAGCACCCTGGCTGCACTTCTTCCAAAACGGATCTATTGATTCTTTTGGCAGCCCATGGCACTTTCAATGTTCTCCTCCAACACCACAACTCAAAAGCATCAATTCTTATACGGTCTTCATTATTCACTGTCCAGGTTTCACATTCATATGAGGTTATTGAAAATACTATGGCTTGCATCAGGCATACCTTAGTCCTCAAGCTGACATCTTTGCTCTTAAACACTTTCAAAAGGTCTTGTGCAGCAAATTTGCCTAATGCAATATGTCATTTGGTTTCTTGACTGCTACTTTGCCAATTTGGATGCCTTTAATTTCCCTATCTTGCTGTATAGCTCTGGCTAAGACTTCCGAAACAATATTGAATAGGAGTGGTGACAAAGGGCATCCTTTCTGGTTCCCATTCGCAGAGGGAAGGCTTTCAGTTTCTCTCCATTCCGAGTATGTAGGCTGTTGGTTTTGTATATATGCTCTTAATTATTTTGAGGAATTTCCCTTTAATTCCTACTTTGTTGAGTAGTTTTATCAAGATTGGGTGTTGGATTTTGTCAAATGCCTTTTCTGCATCAATCAATATGATTTATGTGGTTCTTTTCCTTTTTCTTATTTATATGGTGGATTACATTGATTGTTTATCTAATGTTGAACCATGCTTGCATCCCTTGTATGAAACCCACTTGGTCATGATGTATTATTTTTTTTTGATGTGCTGCTGGATTCTGTCGCATAAGGTTTTGTTGAGAATTTTTACATCAATGTTTATGAGGGATATTGGTCTATAATTTTCTTTCTTAATGATGTCCTTCCCTAGTTTTGGTATGAGGGTTATGCTTACTTAATAAAATGTATTAAGAAGTTTTCCGTCCTCTTCTATATTCTGGAATAATTTGAGTAGAATTGGTGACAGCTCTTCCTGAATGTTTGGTAGAACTCACCAGTGAAGCCGTCTGGGTCTGGACTTCTTTTGGTTGGGAGATTTTTGATGACCTGATCAATTTCTTCTTTTATTATGGGTCTGTTCAGGTTTTCTGTTTCACTGTGTGTAAGTTTAGGTAGGTTGTGTTTTTCTAAAAATGTGTCCATCTCTCCTAAGTTTTCAGATTTGTTGGAGTACAACTCTTCATAGTTTTCTGTTATTATCCTTTTGATTTTGTTTGGTTCCGTTGTGACATCACCCATGTTGTTACTAATGTGTTTCATTTGTGTCTTCTCCTTCTTTTCTTTTGTTAGGTTTCCCAGTGGTTTGTCAATTTTATTAATCCCTTTAAAGAACTAGCTTCTTGTCCTGTTGATTCTTTCTGTAGTTTTTCTGTTTTCCATCTCATTTATTTCTGTTCGTATCTTTATTATTGCTTTTCTTTTGGTGACTATAGGTTTCATCTGTTAGTCTGTTTCTAATTGTTGGAGATGCTGTGTTAATATGTTAGTTTTGGTTCTTTCTTCTTTTTGGATATACACATTTATCGCAGTACATTGTCCTCTCAGCGCCACTTTCACCATGTCCCAAAGATTTTGGTATGTTGTGTTTTCGTTCTCTTTTGTTTCTAGGAACTTTGTGAATTCACGTTTAATTTCTTCTTTTACCCAGTCGCTTTTCAGCAGGGTGTTGTTATTCAGTTTCCATGTTCTCGACTTTATTTCCTTGGTCTTCTTATTGTTGATTTCTAGTTTTATAGCATTGTGGTCTGAAAAGATGCTTTGTAGTATTTTGATGTTTGTAAATTTATGGAAGCTTGCTTTGTGACCTAACACATGGTCAATTTTTTGAGAATGTTCCATGTGCCCAGGAGAAGATTGTATATTGTGCTGTTGTTGGGTAGAATGCTCTGTACACATCTATGAGGTCAAGTTGGTTGATTGTGCTGTTTAGTTCCTCTGTAGCTTTGTCAAGTTTCTTTCTGGTTGTTATGTCCCTTTTCTAAAGTGGTGTATTAAAATCTCCCAGTATAATTGTAGATTTATGTATTTCTTTCTCTAATTCTTGCAAGGTTTCCTAAGAGCAGCTGGTCTGGTGCATTTCAACTGCCAGCCTTGTGGTTCGTAGTCCAGTGCTGATCCTACAGTGTCACACCAGGAGTCATCTATATATATACACACACACAAACACACATATATAATTATATAGAAGTCCTGGTGTGGCGCTGTAGGATAAGAATTAGAATGATAACCTCAAGGTCAGTCACAGTCGCTGCTCCAAAATCCTGTAAGGGTCACTATGGAGAAAGATGAGGCAGGCGTTCTGCTCCCATAAAGATTTACAGCCTTGGAAACCATATTCAGGGTTGCTGTGAGTCAAAACTGACTCCATGGCACACAACCACAAATCGGAACCAACCTGTTGGCACTTAGCAGTGACCACCTGTAAATATATAAATGTTGTTGTTGTTATTGTTATGTGCCATTGAGTCAGTACCAACTCATAGTGACCCTGTGCACAACAGAACAAAGCACTGCCCAATCCTGTGCCAGCCTGACTATCCTTGCCATTGCTGCTACCACTGTACCACTGCATGTTATTTGTTGTTGCTGTGTGCCATCAAGTTGGTTCTGACTCATAGCATCCCTTTATAGGGTTTCAGAGGCTATACATCTTTATGAGGACAGAAAACCTCATAATATTTCTGCCACACAATGGCTGTTGGATTTGGTTTTCTGACCTTGTAGCTCGAAACCCGACAAATTACCCACTACACCACCAGGATTCCTATATAAATACGTGGTGGTGGGTGGTGCGCCATTAAGTCGGTTCTGACTCATGGTGACCGTGTATAGGGTTTTCAAGATTATAAATCTTTACATGAACAGATTTAAATGTATTTAAATGTTGATGGAAAAGGAGGTGTATAAAGAAGATGATGTTAAAGGTTGTTGTTTTGTTGTTAAGTCCCATTGAGTTGGTTCCCACCCATAGCACCCCTATATAGGGTTTCCAAGGAGCAGTTGGTGAGTTTGAACTGCCGACCTTGCAATTCAAACTGACCTTGTGATCTAGTATTTATCCTACAGAGCCATGCCAGGCATCCTTAAAAGTACTCTTCCTCAAGGGTTGTTGTTATTAAGTGCCGTCGAGTCGATTCTGACTCATAGTGACCCTATATAGTGACCCAAGGAGCAGCTGGTGAGCTTGAACTGCTGACCTTGTGGTTCAAACGACTTTACAGTCCAGCACATTAGCCCATAGTGCCACACCAGGACTTCTCCTTAAAGGTTGTTGTTGTTAAGTACCCTGGAGTTGGTCCCGATTCATTGTGACCCTGCACAGGGTTTCTGAGGCTGTAAAGATGAGCAGAATGCTTCATCTTTCTCCCATAGGATCACTGGTAGTTTTGAACTGCTGACCTTGAGATTGGCAGCCCAACTCATAACCACTACTCTATCAGAGCGCCTTTCCTTAAAGTTAGAGTGAGATTATTAAAGAAGAAGGAAGTGTTGTGGTCCAAGTAAATACACCCTAATTAACTTTTAGAAGTAAGAGAGTGACCTTTAAGAATACTTTTACTGAGTAAGTCTGTAGCACATAGTAAGACTTTGAATGTGTTACTTGGTATTTTCACCATACTTACTCAATCAGTATACTGAATAAATAATCCAAGAAGCTGTATTATATGAAGAAGAACATGGTATCAGGAATGGAGGAAGACTCATTAACAAACTATGATATGCACATGACACAACATTGCTTACAGGAAGTGAAGAAGACTTAATATACTTATTCATAAAGAACAAAGACTACAACCTTCATTATAGATTACACCTCAATGTACAGAAAATAAAAATCCTCACGACTGTGTCAATAAATAGCATGATAAACAGAGAAAAGATTGAAGTTATCAAAGACTTCATCTTACTTGGATCCCATCAACACTCTTGGAAACAGCAATCAGGAAATCAGATGATGTACTGCATTAAGCAAATCAACTGCAAAAGACTTCTTTAAAGTGTTAAAGAGCAAAGATGTCACTTTGAGGACTAAGGTGCTCCTGACCCAACCCATGGTATTTTCATTTGCCTCAGATGCATGTGAAAGTTGGACAATGAATAAAGAAGATTGGAGAAAAATTGATGCATTTGAATTACGTTGTTTGTGAAGAATATTGAAAGTACCATGGACTGCCAGAAGAACAAACAAATCTGTGTTCAAAAATGTACAGCGAGAATACTCTTTAGAAACCAGGATGTCAATACTTCATCTCTTAATCTTGGAACGTGTTATCAAGAGGAGCCAGTTCCTAGAGAAGAACTTCATTCTTGGTAAAGTGGAGGGTCAATGAAAAAGAGGAAGACCCCAAGGAGATGGATTGACAGTGACAGTAGCAATTGATGACAATTGTGAAGATGGCTCAAGACCCTATTTCCTTCCATTGTGCATATGGTCGCTGAGTTGGAACCTACTAGATGTGCACCTAATAGGAAAGCAGCAACTTGTTATTTCTTAGGCAGGAAGGAGGCAAGAATGCATGGAAATTTAAGTAACCTCGATGTACGCTGATAGGAAAAGGAGGGTTTCCTAGTAAATTACTTTTATTTGTGTGTATGCATAGGCATACATAAGCATGTTATAGAAGACAAAGTTGTATGCTGTGAGCAAGGAAAAGTTGGGTGGGGAAGGAGTTAAAACCGTGGGTAAGTTTTGAAGTTTATAGGGAGAGAAAGTTCATGAGAATTGAAGAAAAACAACTGAGAAGGATTTCTGCACATGTACTAAAATTATAGAAATCCTTGTTACAGAAAAATGGTGTATGTTAGCAATTTGAACACTAGAGTTGTCTTTTTAAAGAGCAAGCTCCTTTTCTGTCTTCTCTTAGATGTTTATTTAGACTGCCCTGGTTGAGCATAAGTAGCTGCAGAGGCACAGTGGATTAAGTGTTACACTGCTAACAGAAAGGCTTGAATCTACCAGCAGCTCTACTGGAGAAAGACGAAGCTGTCTGCTTCTGTAAAAATTTATATGGAACAGTTCTACTGTCCTATAGGGTCGTTATATGTCAGAAGCAACTCACTATCTGTGGGGTAGGTTGATGAAGCTTAAAGAGTGTAAGCCAACTAACTGCTTGCTTCCAGGCACTAATGTTCTCCATTTTGAATCTTCAGACAAGTGTTTTATCTTTTTAGGGTGAAGTGTATGGCAGCCACTTCTCTTGCACAGCTGGACCCCAGCCCTGAAAAGGGGTACATTGGCATTCCTGTTTCTGTAGTCACTGATCCTAGTTCTAAGAGACTTGGTTTCTTATGTTACCTTCTAATTTATCATCACTAGCTTAGAAAGCCAATTTTTATGCTCATTTGTCAAGGCCCTTGTCTGTATTTGCTTCTTGTATGTTGCATTCTGTTTTCTTAGCCAAGTGCTTAGGTGGTTTTCTCCTTATTGCAATTGCAGGAGAATATTGCAGTCTCTTAAAACTTACTTTTTAAAAAGATACCTTGCTTTTTCAGTCTTTAAAAATACCTTTGTAGATTAAAAAGAGTGAACATATGAAATAAATTTTACTGGGTACAGTGAAAACTTTTCTATAATTATTTATAGATTTATTAGTAAATGAGCTTGAAATTGTTAGACATAAACCACACCTAAAACACACCTAAATCTGTTTCCAAAAATGGAGAGCCAATTTGAATTATTCATACATAGTTTAAAAGTTTCCATCCATATTTACTTGGACTGCTCTTGTGCTTACCTTTTATTCCTAACGCATTTTGGCTTCTCTAACAGCCCTCTTTTCATGTGTATTTTACGTTTTTGCCATGTAGGTCTTTCACAGTTCTGCAGCCCCAGGCGGGCATTCTCTGAGCAGGGTCCGCTCCGCCTGATCAGGAGCGCCTCTTTCTTTGCAGGTTTGCCATGTGCTGTGTGGGTAGACTAGCTGGTGTGCCTCAGTGGCTAGAATACGTAGTTAAAGCTGTGGAAACAAGAGAGGAAATAAATGTGATTGCTGACAAATTTTTAAAGGAAATTTAAGACCTTAATTCCTATCTATTGAATATTTTCTAAAAGTTTCCGGAAACTAGGTTATTAGTAGACATGCTATTTTTCTGAAATTTTGTTTTTTAATTTCTTATCTTACTGTGCTGTGATCATTTGAACTTAAGAATTTTAAACCAAATTTTAGTATGAAGATTATTTCTTATGATAGATACCACTTGAAATTTTTTATACGATACTGTTGTTTCCATGGCTAGTAGCTTTTGTATCATAGTTTACCAATTACAGAAATACCCAATCTTAATATTGTAAGATTTCTGATCTGTAGTGTTCCATAAAAAAAGATTCTTAGAGCTAAGATTTAGATGAACAAGCATTATAATGCTCTATAAAAGTACTATATAACTATATTTGTTTATGTTATTAAATTGATAATAGTAATATATGTGTCCATGCTTCTGTATTCAGAGCTCTTAATTATTCTCTGTTTTCACACATTTTAGTAGGTTACTTAGCATTGTAACCTTCTGGTGGAAACTATCAGTAGAAAGACTGAACAAATTTACTGTTGTTGCTTTCATATTAGTATCAGTTTAGCTCTTGCTTTTTGTTTCAATTAGTATTTATTTCCTCTATAAATACAATATAAAAGTAGTCATTTTAGAAAGTTAGGAAAATAGGCAAAAATTTGTATTAGCTGTCTTGTCAGTGAGAGGTAACTGTATTTTTTTAAAACTGAGATTATACCACTCAAATTGTTTTCTTAAACTTTGTATTATGAAGAATTTTGAACATACAGAAAAGTAAAGGTAACATTCATATATCCACAAGTTAGTCCCACCAACCAACTTGCTTATTAAAATTTAATAGTAAATGTTGTGAATATCTTTTTATGTCATTGAATATGCTTCTAAATATGCATTTTTGTCACTCCTTGCTTGTTTAGATACCATGTCATAGATATTTTTGTCATATGTGAAATCTTCAGTTAGACCTCAAAGCTTGTTCAACTGAGTAATAGCTCTTGGTGTTGGGTTGGTGTCATGCTATTGAAAAAAAAAAAAAAAAAGGAATGCAATGAAATGAGCATGATTTAATTTGCTATTTAAAAAGAGCAACATCAACCTGAATAGCAATATATTTTGTAACTGACAGTTTTGTCTTGATTGACAGTTCACAGCAATCCAATGGACATGCCTGGAAGAGAGCTGAATGAGGACAGAGACAGTGGCATAGCACGCTCTGGTAATGTCAGGTTCTTGTAATAATGACCCAGTTTTTTATGAGATCACTGTTTATTATGAGATCATTGATTGTTTTTCAACCTTGCATGTATCACCGAATATTATGTGCACAGTTTGCTAATATTTGATATTAACCTTGCGAGAGAATTGCGCAAAGAACAGCAAGAGAGAACTCTTTTAAGTGATCATGCTTATTACTGCACATTGAGAATTGTTTTTACTTTTCCCTATGTTTGGTGGAATGTTGCCTGGAAGAATACAGGCTGACTTAGGCCTGACCAGTATAAGAAGTAGGTATTTACTTACAAGCCAACTGAGTTAGGCTGGCGACTAACAGGATAATGCCTTGTTATCAGCTAACATTTTCTTCTGTGGTGGGAGGAAGGTCAAAAGGACATTATCTCAGAGTCTCTGTTACTATCTGATGTTTTTCCTATGGGACCTTGCTCCAACAATGTTTTTTAAAAAGGGAATTTAAAAGAGGCTTGCAAAATGAAAGAGTTGAGTCACCCCACTCTTATTTGTTAAAAACAGAGTTTTAGTTTATGCTTAGTCACTATTGATTTACATACTTCTCTTCTTTTGATTTAACAGCATCTCTCAGTAGCTTGCTTATCACTCCATTTCCCTCACCAAACTCTTCCCTCACCCGAAGTTGTGCCAGTAGCTACCAGCGACGTTGGCGGCGTAGCCAAACAACAAGTTTGGAGAATGGTGTGTTTCCTAGATGGTAAGTTGGAAGTTAAAATAGATTGCAGACTCCCTTGAATATGATTTTGTATGTGTTTTCAGAGGCTGGACATGTATTTTATATTTTACATCTGGAACTGAAATATTTTCCTGTTTGCCCTTCATCTTTGACTTTGCTCCTGCAATCAAAAGGAGAGACAAATAGACCTTAAGAACAGTCAAGAGACTGTATCAGTCTCGCGTGCAAACCTTAAAATTTAGCATTTTTTAGACTAATTATGATTTGGACTTATCTACTGTTTGGGTAACTTATGATTAGACAGAGTGTTCCTAATATTACTCTCTAGTAAAATAACTTTAATGATGTAATCATGAAGGAATAACCATTAGATTTCCTGAAAAGATATACAATTAGTATGAATTTTTAGGTTTATATGATAAAATAGCAGAGGAGCTTTAACTTGTCTACATTTTGTTGTGAAGAAGATTGTCTAATAATCTTAACCATTTCTTTTTCTTAAGGTCAATAGAAGAAAGCTTTAATCTGTCAGATGAAAGCTGTGGCCCTAGCCCAGGAATTGTGAGAAAAAAGAAGATTGCAATTGGGGTAATCTTTTCATTATCCAGAGATGAAGATGAAAATAGCAAATTTAATGAATTATTTTTTTCACATTTTCCTCTCTTTGAAAGCCACATGAACAAATTAAAGAGTGCAATAGAACAGGTAAGCAAAGTTATGTTATTGATTTGTTTACATCTTTTATTTTCTTTACAATTTTATTCTCCTAATAAGCAATATGGAGTCCTGGTGTGGTGCTCCTGGTTAATGTGCTGGACTGCAAGGTCCATTTGAGCCACAAGGTTGGCGGTTCAAGCTCACCAACCACTTCTCTTAGAAACCCTATATAGGTTCACTGTGAGTTGAAGCCAGATTCCACAGCGGTTACCAACAACAATTGTTGTTGTTGTTGTTGTGTGCCGTCGAGTCGGTTCTGACCCATAGCGACCCTGTACAGGGTTTCCGAGGGTGTAAATCTTTACGGGAGTAGAAAGCCTCATCTTTCTCCCACGGAGCAGCTGGTAGTTTTGAACCACTGACCTTAAGGTTCACAGCCCGATTCGTAGCCACTACGCTACCAGAGCTCCTTCAACAATAAGACATATGTTTATTCACTTGGCAGAAAAATTATCAGGTATTGTGCGGGTACCCTACAGACTACTTTGGGAAATACAAACAGACTTCATTCTTTTTTAAGGCGCTTACTGTTTAATAAGGCATTGCGGTGTGGCGCTGTAGATAAAACACTGTCCCCTAAGGTCAGTTTGAACCACAAAGTCAGCAGTTCAAACTCACCAGCTGCTCCTTGGAAATTATATAGGATCACTGAGTCGGAACCAACTCTATAGCACTTAACAGCAACAACAAAAGCTATTTAATAAAAGATTTAAAGTCATTCATTTGTTCAGTAATATGTATTTTAGGGACTGTGTGTGACAGGCAGAGGCCTAGTATGGTGCTATAGTATAAGCCCTGTACTACTAACTACAAAGTTGGTGGTTCACACCCACCAACTGCTCCTTGGAAATGGTATACAGGGTCTCTATGAGTTGGAACTAATTGGACAACACTTAATAACAACAACAATGTAATAAGTATGGTTCTAGCAACTGAAAGAACTGATAGTATTTTAAGTGATGAAAGTAGATGAGATAGAGCAAAGAGGAAAGGAGGCTTTATGCCTGAGCTAAGGAGATGAGAAGGAACCTGTCAAGGAGATCCAGTACTCGCCATTTAAAAAAGAAAAACAGGAGAGAGTAGTTTTTTTGTGGGAGTAACCAAATGAAGAAATATTTCAAGAGGAGAGTGATCAGTTGTACCAAATGTTGATAGAAATGTATGTAAAACAAATATGTAAAGCAAGAATGTTATGAAATGCAAGATGAAACATAAAAGGACAAGTACAATTTCTTGGAAATTATTTTGGGAAGAAATTTTATTTAGACTGCATCTTAAAGGATGTGTAGAATTTTTTTTTAAGTTAAAACTTTGAAAGGTGGGTACAGCAGAATAGCAAGAAAAACTGATATTTTTGCCCAGGCTTTTTTTGTGCATTTTGTATTTTACTTGTTTGGGATTGTGCTACATCCATAATTTTTAGATTATACACTCATGTTTTAAAAGCTCATCATTGTGACGAATGCATTTTCCACGATATTATAAATGGTTCTTTAGCAATGTATTTTAGTGTCTACCTACAGTTTTAAAGTAACCAGTTTCCTGTTAGGTCATTTCCACTTTTTCACAATTGTAGCTACATCTTTCTGTATTTTTTCAGATCATATTTTAGAAGAGTTGAACTAATAAATCAGTGGCTGTAACTTGCACCCTATGTCAGAATGTGGAAAGGAAGGGGTATGAAGAAGAGTTGTGAGTGACTAACAGTTCATGAAAAAATAAGTGGGAAGACCAATTAGAATTGTCTAGAAAGCAGAGGATACATTTCATAACTTATAAGGATCATCTATCTCTGGAGAAAACACAGTGGCTATTCACACTGAATCTTTCAAATAATAAATAGAAAGATCATTAGCAGTAGTTTTTAACTGAACAAATGAGTAAAGACCGTTTTTATTTATAGTAAAATAGCTCTTTAAGAAATTAGACACTGGTGACATTTTCTTCAGTTGGCTGCTGCTCCGTTTGGTAGTCTGTTTTTGTCAAAGTCATTGTATACGATATTTTAGCTGTGGCTAAATGGACATTTTTAGTTATGTGGAGAAATGATACCCTGTACCCTTTGTCTTTGGTATGATGCCCTATACCCTATACTTTTGCATAAAGCTTGAACTATTTAGACGCTATAGGACTTTTTGAAGATTTCTTTTCAAGTATTGTATATTTAATGCTTTAATGATTTTGACATTCTGTAATCTAGAATACACATTTTGATACCTCTAGTTGTCTGAATATTTGTTCATATTTAGCATCCTGTTCCTTATAAAGCTGAACGAATGAGTACGTTTGCATAAACAAATGGGACTTAGTTTTTTAAATTACCATATTAGTTAATTGATGGTAAAATGCAATGAATATTGAAATGTCCAAAGGAAGCCATCATTTAGGATCATTTAGAGTCAGTTTTCAAACTATTCACTTGTTTTTTTGTTTTAACTGCTTTTTATGTGTTGGATGAAGATTTACAGAGCAAATCACTTTCCATTCAGTAATTCATACACATTTTGTTTCATTGATTGCAATCCCCACAGTATGACATCATGTGTCCCACTTCCTCCGTGTGTTTCACATTTCTATTCCTCCTCTTTTCCAAACCCTTCCTGCTTTCTGAATTTTTGTCTTAGGCAAATACTGCCCTTTTAATCTCAAATAGTTGATTATTTTAAGGAGTGCTTACCTCCCTGGTGTGGCACTGTAGGATAAGCACTGGACCTCAAGGTAGGTTTGAACAGCAAGGTCAGCAGTTCAAATCCACCAGCTGCTCCTAAGAAACCCTAGACAAGGTTGCTGTGGGTTGGAACTGAATTGATAGCACTAAATAACAAACACAATAGCAATGTGCCTCCCTAGTGTTACTGTTCTCCATATAGACTTGTCTGTTGTTTGTCTGAAAACAGATCTAAAGGGTGGCTAAGGACCATAGCATAGTCTTGGGGTTCCACCCGCCTCTGTCCAACCAGTAAGCCTGTTTTGTTGTGTGTTTTTTTCATTGTTTTGACTTTTGTTCCACATTTTCCTCCCAGGACATTCTAATGTGATCCCTTTCAGAGCAGCTGGTAGTGGTAACCAGGCACCATCTAGTTCTTCTCAAGGTCATGAAAGCTGATGTTCTTGTGGTTCCTCAGTCCATTGGACTAATTGTTTTTCTGTATCTTTGATTTTCTTCATTCTTCTTCCTCCGGAAGGGGAGACGCCACTATTAGCATGTTTGGTGACCACTAGTGAATTTTAAAGACTCCGGACACTACTCATCAAAGTAGGATGCAGAACATTGTCTTTGTGGACTGTTTTATGACAGTTGATCTTGGTGTACCCTGAGACCATGTACTGGAGCCCACAGGCCCTAAAACTTGATTCCCTCAAGGTGTTAATTATGTCTAAGAAGTTTTCATAACTTTCCCCCCTATATGATCCAATACATTATTTGCAGGTTAGGTAAATGCACATGTAGAAATAGCCCGCTATACCTATATGTATTCATGGATACAGTCCCATTCTCCCTCCCACACCTCTCAGCCTGTGTGACTATTTAGGCATCCATTTATTTTGTTGTTGTGAAGTGCTGCCAAGTCAGTTCTGATCCATAGCGACCCTCTATAGGCTTTCCGAAGAGTGACTGGTGAGCTCAAACTGCTGACTTTGTGATTCAAACCAACTTTGCGATACAATGCATTAACCCATAGTGCTACTCAGGCATCTACTTGTAGATCACCATTATTGTGGAATTGTGTATATAACAATAGTGACTCCTGATGTGGCACTGTGGGTTAATGCACTGAACTGCAAAGTCGATTTGAACTGAAAGCTTGGTGGTTCAGACTCACCAACTGCTCCTCAGAAACCATGTACATGGTTGCTATGGGTTGGAGCCAACTCCACAGGACTTAACAACAACACCACCACCAATGTTACCTTAACTCTTTTACTCCTCCCAGTGTCTTACCCAACTCTATCTTTTTTTTTTTTTTCTGACCTTCCTCTTATTGGACGTATAGTGCCTTCCCTTTTACCCATGTTAATATGTGCCTACCCTTTACTTGGAGTCCTGATATAGTGCTGTAGGATAATGCACTGGACCGCAAGGTTGTTTTAAACTGCTCTGGTAGCTTAGTGGTTACGAATCGGGCTGCGAACCTTAAGGTTAGCGGTTCGAAACTACCAGCTGCACTGTGGGAGAAAGATGAGGCTTTCTACTCCCGTAAAGATTTACACCCTCGGAAACCCTATACAGTTTCGCTGTGGGTTGGAACCGACTCGATGGCACATAACAACAACAACAACAACCCTTTACTTGGAGTCCTGATATAGTGCTGTAGGATAATGCGCTGGACCGCAAGGTTGTTTTAAACTGCATGGCTGGTGGTTCAAATCCAGCCACTCTGCAGTTTATATTTTCAGTTATGTTTGATAGTGTATTTATGCCTTGTGTAATAAAATTTATGGATTTTTCTTGTGAGTAGCTTGACAGTTCTTTTGAAGTCTATGCTGCTTTTTGAGAATATAATAAAAAATGACAGATAATGTTAGGGGAGAACATTTCTCAATCTTACCTATAGATTATTCACTTATTTAGTAATTGGAGTTTCTTATAATAGTTTGAAAACATAACATTTCACTTTCACCCTATGATGCATTTGTTGTATAAGAACATGTTATCTGTATCTAAAGTAGTCTGACTTTTAAAAAATATATTTGGGTACAGAATTTTTTAATCAACTCTTAAATGCATAATTATATAATTAATATATAATGACATTGTCTTTGAAGAAGTCTGGAAATTTAAAGATTAAGGTCTTTTTGACATCTGTCTCCTAATCCTGATCCCCTTTTTATCTTTGTAACACAAAAATTCTCAGCCTCAGTGAAATATGGTATAATAATTTTTTTTTTCACTTGAACAGGCTTATAATTTTTTCTTTTGGTTTTTTTGGTAAGTTTTTATGGTGAATTGAGTGATAGTTTATTTGGGAGATCATCAATTTTACATCCATCATAGCATATTTCATTTCATTGCAATGATTCCAATCCCCTCCATACATCATCATTCAACGGTACCTGCCTCCTCTATTCCTGTTTTTTTGTTTTGTTTTGTTTTTTTCTGGATGTATACCAAAACACTCAGAAATATACAATCATCCAAACAACCAAAGGGCACACTCTGCAAGCCTGCCCCCCTGGCTGCCAGCGCACAGCCCCTCTCCTTCCATGAGGCTACACTCCTCAGCTGCTCCATGTCTCCATGTCATCATCTCTGCCACCATCCCCGGCACCACTGCTTCTCTGGATAGGGTCCCACATTCCACTCCTGCTCTTCTCCCTTGATGGTCCTAGGATCATCTGTTCCAGAATGTAAGACCAACTGCTCCCCCCTTTTTGCTACAAAAGCTTTATCTTTACAGTTGTGACACTCGTGATTAGTCATGATAACAATTACTCACTGTTGAATCATAAGAATCATGTCCTCATCTCCTTGCACCAGACCTGTCTAGATAAAGATGAAAAGTAATCGGTGGGGATTCTACCCTCCCCTGCACATTCTGAAACTAAACTTCCTCTTGAAAACTTGTAAGCCAGTCATTTCGTGCCTTTACAGCCCCCATTTTAGGTAGCCAATGTCTAAGTTGACCATCCCTATCAACCCTATGTACAGAGGGGATGGGAATGGTCCTTGCTGTGAAGATTCTTTCTCTCTTGGTTGGTATTTTAAGCTATTACATCCAAAAGTGGTAAGTCAGATTCATCAAATTATAGTGATTTACACTTGTTTTCTTTATCAAAAATTTTTTTTTATCTTCCTTTAGTCGAGTTCTAATCACCTAGCCATCAAAGCTAGGTCAAATGGGAACTATCTGAAAGTTTGGGCGTTTTTGTGCATCTCCCCTCACTTCATATCAGCTGGACACTTCACTCTCAGCTGTAGGCCTCTATGACTATGTCCTTTTCCATGGGCTCAGGAGTCCCCAGGTCTCACCATACTTCGGGCCAATCATGTCTCACCATACTCCAGGTCAACAGGAGTCTATGTATTGTGGTCAGACTAAGCCCACATCTTAATTGCTGCTTTCCCCCCACTTCACTCACCAGTAGATCAACGTGGTTGCCAGCAAGCTTACATGCCTGCTTTTATATTCCCTTTGAGTTTCAGTCTTGGAAGGGGGTTTGTCCTGAGGGACTTGATTACTTGCTTTGCTGGCTCCCTGGCGAACAAATTGCTTGCTCTTGTAGTAGCCAATCAGACTGCTGTTTTTGTTTGTGATTTTTTTCCTTGCTGGTCTTTCTTTCAAGAAGTATCTTCTGTTCCTCCAGCTGCTTACGCTCATCTGTTAGTCTTTTCAAGTGGGAATTTCCCACCCCAGAAGGTTCTGAATAGGGATCAAAATTCTACCTAAGGCCTTATAACACTACAGAAGCTCCACAAAATGCCACTTTCACCCCTTTCAAGTTCTAGCACCCCTTTTAGGTATTCCAATCAGTTACATGCTGAACATGGCCTTACAAGCTTTCTATGATAATGTTTCTGGATATTCCTTTCTGTCCCCCTCAAGTGTCTATTTTACAATAGTAGGCAAGGGAAACCAATTCATAAAACAGTCAAGCATTTTGATAGTATTATTTTCCCTCTTTTACCCATTCAGTCTATGCCTCAATCACTGTATCACAGAGCCCTACTGTTCCAAGGTTGAGCATACATCACTATTTACTTAACTCTGTACCATTTAGCCCATGCAAACCTACCTAAGTGTTCTCCCATCTACCTTGTTCTTCCATCCCCTCCCCCTTCTTGTATATTGCACACCCCAACACCTAAATTATGATATGTCTATCCCCTACCCTCTACTCCACTGTCTCCTACCTCTCCTCCCCTCCCTGGTATAATAAATTTTTTAAGAGTATTCTTAGCAAATCTCACTTAATTAAGTTATGTTTCAGTAGAGTCTTCATAATCAAGATTTAAAAATGGTTTAGTTAACAGAAGCTTCATCTCTGAGAAATAAGATAAAACCATGAACTATTGTTATGGACTAGTTATTATCTTAACTCTATTTAGGGAAAGAAAAAAGTAGTTTTATGAAACCCCGAACTGTCAGCATCAGTTGTATGTTGACATTCTGTGGTTTGACAGTTGTTAAAACAGTCAACCATTGAACCTTTTGAATTTTCTTATAATCTCTAATGATCAGAAGTATTGAAAGGAAAGCTGCTGTCATTATGTATACCTTCTTTTATTTCCTTCTAAATCTGAATGTTGGTAGTATGTTGTGTAAATATGTGGCTTCATTTTTCACTTTTTTTCCTCATGTTTTGTACTTGATCAGTATTAGAATTAACTATTTAATGATTATTTTCAAGGCTATGAAAATGAGCCGGAGATCAGCTGATGCCAGTCAAAGGAGTTTGGCATATAATCGAATTGTTGATGCCCTAAATGAGTTCAGGTATGTATTCTCCAGCTTTTCTTAATACAGAGTTGTTTCCCAGTGTACACAGGAAGATGTCTTTCTTTCCTTTAACTTGTTTTAATGAAATTTAATTTTATAAAATTACTTTGCCCCATAGTGAAATGAGGGCACAATTTAGAAGGCCAATGCCTACTATGTGTTTGAATCCCAAATATGCATAGAATTTAAGCACAGCAGGGTGTTTAGTTCTTTCTTGGGCTCTTAAATGTAGGGATTGGAAGTACTATTTAACCAGTGGTAATATCTTGTTCTTTTGGTAGCCAGTCATACTGCCGTTTTTATTTGTGTTTGTGGTAGTGTAGTGGTTATGACTCAGGCTGCTAATCTCATGTTCAGCAGTTCGAAACTACCAGCTGTTCCGTGGGAGAAACATGAGGCTTTCTGCTCCCGTAAAGATTTACAGCCTCAGAAACCCTGTACCAGGGTCACTATGAGTCGGAACAACAATAACAACAGTATCTTGATGTGTTTGGATACATGAAATAGAAGGCTGTTTGGCTCTAAGGCACATGACCATCAGTGTTCCAAGTAGCTCTATTGCTTGTTCCCTTCCCTAGATATGCACAGTGAATAATCTCTTCTGCCGTTGTTGTCTGGCTCACCAAAGCTTGTGCCTGAAGCCCCACTATCACTATTGTAATTGTGCTCTCACTTTACAAGTATGTAAAGCAAATATATGCAGTCAAACTTATGTTGGGATACATACTAAATGACTGATCTCTATCTCCGTCATAGACATTCAGTTCCTATCTATTCCATCATTTCCATTAGACTGGAGAGAGAATATACTGTAGACAGTGAGAACTCAGACTTTAGTATCAGACAGACAACCTTTTGTTCTAACCTCGGCTCTGCCATTCACCACCCTTTATGAACTTGGGCAAGTCCATTAGCTTTTCTGACCCATAGTTTTCTAATCTAAAATATGTGTAAATTCAATATATTATTAATATAATAGGTGTTACAAAGGTTAGATGAGATAATATACATAAAGAATTCAGAAAAATTCTTGATATAAATGATTCCACTATTTTCTATGGAAAATAAAGACTAGAACAGTTCTTCTACCTCTTTTGTCATTCATACCCACTCCGTCTTATAATTTTGCCAAATATGTATATCATCCAAGTCGTTTCACTCAAGTTTTCTTTTAAAATTCACCCTCTTTTATACCTAAATAAATGAATTTCATAATGAAGTTTCAGGTATTATTACCCTAGAATGGTAATAATTGGGTAAGGATACCCAATATCCTTAGCCATAATAAGCTAACTGTAGAAATGTATGCATAATTTTAAAATGTTTTAAATATATATCAGTATACCACTTACAGTTACTTACCAGTGATTCATATACATATATATCAATTTTAGAAAAACTGATAACATTTTTGTGTGTTTAGTATTATAAGGTTCCTTATTGAGAGCAGGTAAGAAACTTAGTGATGTAGTTAGTACTTAAAGCACTCTTCTGCTGATGAAAAGATTAGCAGTTAGCTGTTCACGGAAGACAGATGTGTCAGTCTACTTCCATGAGGATTTGCAGCCTTGAAAACCCTATTTGTTGTTGCTGTTAAATGTTGTCAAGTTTATTCCAACTCATAGCGACCCTTTATAGAGCAGCTGGTGAATTTGAACAGCTGACCTAACAGTTCAAACCAATCTTGCAGTCCAGTACATTATCCCATAGTGCTACACCAGGACTCCTGGAAATCCTATGGGACAGTTCTGTTCTGTCCTATATGGTCATTGTGAGTCAGAATCACCTTGGTAGCAGTGGATTTAGTTTTAGGTTTATTGTGGCAGGATTCGTCTTACTTGTTTAAATGTACAAACACAAACACATTTTTAACTGAAAGCCTGGGTTAGCTTGTGGTATTGTAGCATTGCTATAATTAAATTCTTGGCATGGATAGAAAGATATCTAAATTTTAAGTGGAGATAACTAGAAAATTGTTGTTGTTAAGTTCCAGCAAGTTATTTCCGACCCGTAGCGACTCTGTACAGGGTTTCCAAGGAGCAACTGGTAAGCTTGAACCACCAACCTTGCAGTTCAAACCAACTATGCATCCAGCACATTAACCCACAGCACCACACCAAGATTCCAACTAGAAAGTGATAGTGTGTAAAGGATAGTGTTTAGGCTGCTAACCAAAAGGTTGGTGGTTCAAGACCACCAGGTGCTCCTCAGAAACCCTACACAGAGTCGCTGTGAGTTGGAACCGATATAATGGCACTTAACAACATAAGAAGTAGTACTATATTTAGTAAATCTGTGCTTGTTTATTTTCAACTTTTTTAATTCATTTTTCTCATCTTGTTTTAATTAAGCAACAGTTAAACTATACTTGTCCTCTCCAAAGAAGAGTTCATTGGAACTGCACATACTTAATATGCTGCTCAAATTTCATGTTTTAGAAACTCTGAGTTTATGATTTAAAAAAAAAAAAGCTTTATTTTCTTAAATGAAAAGAAGAGTTTTGTATGATTTTTGTAATGATGTTACAACTAACCATTAAATAGAAATTGTATGGCAAAAATAAACTACTGTGAAATATTTCCTCATGTTTATACTTATTTAAGTTGAAATGTTTACTTTATGTCTATTGTGTAATAATCATCAACTGAACTCAACTATTAAGAAGACATTTCTAATCACTTAACGTATTTTATTAAACAAAATCTTTAGGATGAAATGCATTAAAAGTGAATTTAGTAAGTTTTATTTTTATAGGCAATTCAATAGGGGAAATCTAAAAAAAAAGACGTTAGAGAATTTAATTTCAGTCTGTATTATTTCCTTTTTTGTCTTGGAAGGAAATAATTTGTACAGGCAAACCGTTTAGTAATGATATTTCTGCCAAATATGTATTTATTTTAATTAATATATGAAGCATGGTAATCACTAGTGCCTTTTAATCAATTTATTTATTTAGTTCACTAACAACTGCATTTTTAGTATATGAATTGCATACAAAGTTATGTGTAACTTCACATGTTCATACCTAAAGTAAAAGGTTATTAAAAAAAAAAAAAAAACACACCAGAAGTTTCAGGAAAAACTGAAATTTGCTCTTGAAACTAGAGAAGCTAATGAGAAAGGAAGAAAGGAAGAAATAATGAAGTAAAAGAGCTGAATAGAAACTTTCAAAGGGTAGCATAAGAAGACACAGTCCTGTATTATAATGAAATGTGCAAAGATCTGGAGTAAGAAAACCAAAAGGAAAGAAGACGCTCAGCATTTTTCAAGCTTAAAGCACTGAAGAAAAATCTGAAGCCTTGACTTTTAATACTGGAAGATTCTGTGGGAAAAATAGTGAATGATTCAGATAATATCAAAAGAATATGGAAGGAAAAAAAAGGAAAGAAGATGCAAGGAATACACATAGTCACTGTACCAAAAAGAATTGTTGTATGTTAAGCCATTTCAAGATGTAGTTTATGATCAAGAATCAATGATACTAAAAGTAGAAATGTCAGCTACATTGACAGCATTGGCAAAAATCTAGACTCCAAGAGGATCAGCACAGTACTGTGAACCACAGGGTCAGCAGTTGAAATCCACCAACTGCTCCTTGGAAACAGGGTCCCTATGAATCGGAACTAACTACTTAACACCACTTAATGACAACAAGGTATTGACAGAATGCAAATGGAAATCTTTCAATAAACTGTTGCAGCACTTGAAGTAATAACTCATCTTTGCCAGGAAATTTGGAAGACAGCTACCTGGCCAACTGATTGGAAGAGATTGTTATTTGTGCCCATTCCAAGGAAAGGTGACCCAACAGAATGCAGAAATCATCAAGCAGTATCATTAATATCACATGCAATTAAACTGAGGATAATTCAAAAATTGTTGCAATAGTAAGTACATCAACAGGGATCTGCCAGAAATTGAAACCAAATTTAGAAGAGGATGTGGAACTAGGGAAGATAGACCTTGGCTGAAAGCAGAGAATACCAGAAAATAATTTACTTGTGCTTTATTGACTATGCAAAAGCATTGGACTTTGTGGATCATAACAAACTATGTATAACATTGTGAAGAATGTGTTTCCCAGAACACTTAACTGTACTCAGTTGGAAGAAATATATTAAACCCATCTATTTTGTGGCTGCCTGGTCCCTGAAGCCTATTGAAGTTTGGACTCTTATTTTAGGAATTTGTGGATTATATTCTGTAACTCTAGTCTGATGCACTTTCATTTTCTGAAGTTATTTATGTTGGTGTCTAAAGAACCTCCCTGTACAGATTGGATAACCCTGATTAATTCCTAGAGCCCTGATTTTCATCAGTTCCTTCAGTGCAACTTAGTTGCAGTTCCTTCCATACCACTAGTTTTATGTAATTTTTTAAAAGACTTTTTATTGTGAATTGTCAGGGTTTACAGAGCAGGTTAACAGTTTCACATTCAGCAATGATGCAGTCCCTCTATGTAACAATAGGGATCGCATTTTCTCCATGTGGTTCTTACATTCCACCCTACTTCTCAACCTTTCTGAACTTTGAACTTTTTCCTTAGGTAAATGTTACCCTTTTGATCTTGAATATTTGACCATTCCATGGTAAGCATACCTTACAATCATTGTTGCCCCTCTCCCCCATATGCCTGTATACCACCTGCCTGAAAATTGGGCTGTGAAGAAAAGTTCAATTTCAGACCTGAAGGGTGGTCAAGGACCATAGTGTCAGGTTCTTCTGGCCAGTAAGCCTATTTATATATATATAATTTTGAGTTTTGTTCCATATTTTCTCTCACTCTATCCAGGACCATCTAATTTGATCCCTTTCAGAGCAGTTAGTAGTGGTAGCTGGATACCTTCTCGTTCTTCTGTTAGCAGGATCGTGGAAAATGATGTTTATATGTTCTACTAGTCCTTTGTTCTTGATGTTTCCAAGTGTCTTGAATTTTCATCATTCCTCTGCACATTGAGAAACAATAGTTGTACTTAGCTGTTCATGAGCTTTTAAAA